TGATTCGCTATTATTACGTGAATGATAATTTTTGCATCACAAATTTATTTTTCACTGAAAATCAAGTCAAGTTTTGATAACTGATACATTTTACTGTGAAAACTACAGTGTAAGAGAAATCACCTCTATTTGTGTCCATCAGAATTCAAATTTGGAAGATGAAGATGAAGCCAAGCCTGAGATTTCCCCCAAAGAGCAGAAAGCCACATCAAAACCATCTTCTGGTGCCCACACCTTCAGACTGAGGGTGGCTCTCCGCTCCGCTGTCTCTACCCAGAAGTCCACTGATGATGAGGAGGAGGCAGAGGAGGAAGAACAGAAGACAAAAAAGAGAAGGGTTGAGAAGGCAGGAAAGACCAGTCAGGCAAAGAGGATGAGGCGTGTTAAATTTGAAGATGAAGAGACCGCAGTGGCCCCTCCGACTCCTTCTGAGGAGCATGGATCCGATTCAGCAGATGATGCAGCTGTTTCTTTCTTGGCCAAGAGGCAACAGAACATCAAGGCCAACAAAGCAATGGTACACTAGAGACACAAGACCATTTACAGTACTGACAGACTGATGCAACGAACTGTGTGGCCCCAAACTAGTGCTGAAGAATACCCAGGGTTCCCAACCAAATTTAAGTTCAGAATCACTGTAAATTCATTGCATGTAACCCCACAGATAGAACTTTTAATATCTATTGCAGATCTTATTATCTCCTATAGATCTATTATATTTATAATCCATTTTGCTTACAGGCTGTTGTCAGAGGTGTGAACGGCAATATGCAAAACATTCTGCTCAGAAATGACTTATTATTGTCATTTTTTCAACAACGTACCTGATTTTTTTGCTTTCAAAAGTTTATGTTGACGCCTAGTACCTAAACTGTGCAGGTTCAGGGCTGTTGACATTGAAAGGTTAAGTAAATTGTAATATTGGTTTTAATGCAGAAATACTTCTAGTCTCAAGTGCTGACAGATTTGCCCGGCTAGAATGACTCAGGATGTTTACCCTCAAACCTCTAATCCTCTTTAATCCTCATTGTTTTCTAACAGTTGGCTCAGCTGATGGCAGACCTGCAGAAGATGCCGGGAGGTGCAGGCTTTCTGAAAAAACAAGAAGGCAAACAGAAGAAAAAAGAGAGAAGTTCTGTGAGTAGAAGATGATGTAAAATCCCACACACCAGTGAGTTTTGTCCCAAGGGCAATTGTTAATACTTCACACGAGGGATGGTGGAAAGAAATTTAGATCCCCAGATTTGACTGTAAGTCTAAAGTAAGCAGAAGGGGAATCAGCGTATTCAGTTAACAAGGTGGTAGTAGAGCTCTGAACAAATAAACCGATGTAATGAGGTGATTTTTATCCACCATCACCTGCAGCGTCCACCACGCTCTGGTGCAGCTGGAGGAGAGTCCAGGAAGAACCCAGAGCGTGGGACTCGCAGACAGACCCGCTCTATGGTGGGAAGTGAGGATCCTAAAACCCCTAAGGAGGAAGAACTGGAGCTCAGCTTGGAGGAGGAGCTGCTGGAGGTCAGCTCTGTCATTTATAAATGACCAGTGGGAAATGTTATTATTTTTTCATTATTTTTTCATTATTTTCATCTTTGTGTTCCAGGTACGCCGAGCCCCACAGCGCAGAGGCGCCCCACGTCCGAATCAGTGCAAACCCCATATGATCCGTCCTGTGGAGGACATCACAGAGGATGAGATTCAGCTGGTCGCAGACAACATGACTGAAAAAGTCTACAACAGAGTCACAGTGAGTTCTCAGCCGGACTGTACCTGTAGTTCTTCTCCAGTGAGATATATGGACATGATAGATTAGACTGAAACATTTGTACCAATATCAGCTTAGTTTGTAGGCAAATCTGTTAGCTGTGGCAACTTTGGTTCAGAGATGTGATATCTTGTGAAAAACTGATCATCAGGTCACTGCCAGGTGCCGAACTCTCCATTACTGAAGCCTAAAAACTGTTTTCAATCTCTATAAAACTATATCTCTGTTGTTGAGGTTTCTCTGTGTATTTCCAGGGCTCCACATGTCATCAGTGCCGTCAGAAAACTGTCGACACTAAGACGTGCTGCCGCAGTGAGGACTGTCGGGGGATTCAGGGTCAGTTCTGTGGGCCGTGCCTGAGGAACAGATATGGAGAGGATGTCAAGAAGGCGCTGCTTGATCCGGTCAGACGGCTGATACACCAACATACACTCTGCACCTGTGTAGATGTACAAAAGATTAATTTCACACATATTTTTTCAGTATTATCTGTCAGTGAGTGTTCAGGCTTCCAGGGATGGATGGATGGATTTAAGGGCAGGGTTTAATCTGGCTTTTATCAGTCCCTTGTGCGTAGCTTTAAAATCCAAGTCCAAGGCTGCAGCAAACGTTCTGTTTTCTTGCACATTGAAATTTGACTTTGAAGGTCGGCTCTAATGGATCTTGTGACTTAATGTATTCACATCAGTAGATGCATAACTGTTTGTGCTTTTCATCTAAATCTTCATCTTTTGCTGGTTGCATGAGCGACACCACTTAACTCAGCTCACACTTTATCACAAGAGAACAATGTGACCCTGACAACTTCTTGTGGCAGTTTTGTCTTTATCATTTTCCTGTTTGTCTTCACCTGTTCTATCAAATAAAGGCATTAAAAGCCCCTCAAAACACAAGATAAAATAATTCATGTAGTATAGCAACTCTTCATTATGTGACAAGACAAAAACTGAATAATTACTCAAGTACTTGTTGTACAGAGGCTTTGCTCCTTTTATTTGTGCTGTTCATTATTTGCACTTTTGGTTTAAGCAGCCCTGCAGGTAAAAGTAGTTGCACTTCTACTATGAAGTTAAATACTGTTTGTTTTTTTAATTCATTTGCATGTGAACTTTGTCTGACACCAGTAAGTTTAGTGTTTTAACCATTTGGTGATCTCTTCAGGAGTGGAAGTGCCCTCCCTGTCGTGGCATTTGCAACTGCAGCTTCTGCCGCCAGCGTGATGGTCGCTGCCCCACTGGCATCCTGTTCCCCCTGGCTCAATACCACGGCTTCTCTGACGTCCACTCCTACCTCAGCAGGTGGGGAACAACGCATACGATTTTTCCAACAATGTGGCCCCAGGTGGGGTGCTTGCAGAAAGACGGGCAACACAAGTTGTTCAGTCCGAGGGTTGTCATATCAGAAACCTGGTTATTATGCTGCGTATCCTAATGAGTGACACTAAGTGTTGGAACTGACAAACATGTACAATGTATTATTTCTCTCCTTACAGCCTGCGTAACAAACTGAAGAGTGAGGACAACGATGTAGAGATGTGATATCAACGCTAGGGGGAGCAATTGTTCAAACTGTTTTGTTTTCTGTGTTTTGGGTTGGTTTTATTCACAGTAAAAACATACACAGCCTGTGATCTTTAATGAATAAAGGATTTTTTTAAGTTGGTCTGTAATATTGTTTGAGATGTTTGCAAAGAAACCAGACATGGTATATTTATAATTTTAATCCAGCTGTTGGCATTTGCAGTAGTTGTATACACACAATATGAAATCCCTTATTTAAAATGGGGCAAAAAAATAAGAGCACTTGTTGTCCAATGAACTTAGTCTATAGAGTTTCAAAAGAGCGCTTTTAAACATACATTTTCTGACATACAAGTTACAATTATCTTTCTCAAATAAAGCAGAAATCTGAAGCAAAGAAAATTTCAGAAAAACTTTGACCCTTAATATTTTGCAACTTATTTATTTGGACAACAAAGGGATGTGTGTCCGAGGTTTGCCTTAAGCTGGATCTTTTCCAGTTAGAATTTTAACATATGTATTACAAGAGTAAAAATTATTAGAAAGTTCATGGACCAAAGAAAGATTTCCTAGTTTTGCTTATAAAATGAGTATGAACCTTTGGTTTTGAGCTTACATATTTATGCTGTCTGGACATTATTACAAAACACTTTACTCTGACCAGATATGACTAAAGAAACACCTTTCCACAGACTGAAAACAAACTTGATGGAACTGCAAGGCAAAGTTGATAAGTATACCACAGAAGAAACATACTGGGAAGATCTGGACAGTATAGAATACATTATTCTATGACCAAAAGGCTCGTAAGTTTACACATTTAATCTACATATATATATATAAAAGTAATAACATAAGATTAAGATTGATTGTGCATGAGAGGTTCATACAACTGAAAGGCAATCTCTTGCAAACGTGTAAGATAATCCTGCCTAAGATTTCTTTAGCCTTTACATAACCAAAATTATATATACAAAAAAAAAAAAAATCAAAATGTTTTTGCTATGATAAACATATCAAAGCATGATGGCTTGAATGTGTGTACCTACATAAGAGGTTAAAGAGTTATTCTCAGGATTTCAGTGCCCTGACACACCTACATCCTCACACTGATTAGTGCTTTTGGCTCTGACCTGGTTGTGACCTCATGTATTCCAGACGGTCCACCCTAAAACGCTTTACTATTATTCCTATGACACTGGGATAGTTAGGCTGGGAACATGTTAGGTTCTCGCAAAACTGCAACCGCAGAAATGTGAGAACCAAATATTTGCTGCTCAAGATTATAATTTCAGTTTTAGGGATGAATTTATTATTATGGGCCAATATGGGCCAGTTAGCCTGAGGGGCCTGATACAGCAGCCCAGTATGAGAGGACACGAGACACCTGCAGTGAAGAGGGACAAAAGCGAAGTTCACAGCCTTGGAAACGAGGGAGAGACTGACTTAGTGTCATCTCTTTACTAAAGGAGCATGTAGAGATCACCTTCCACCAATTCTACATAAAGTGTGCTGGTCTGTGTGTTCTATTGCAATCTCACTATCAAGTAAGATCGGCCCTCGTGTGGGACAAATGTTAGTGTAGTGCCATTTCCATTCAGGGGAAATAAGATTTCATGATGATTTCTCTAGTCTAACATTTTAATCCAACTCTGACCCTTAAATCCCACAGGTATTTAAATACAAGATGGAAATCCACATTCCTGCCTCAGTTCTCAAATTCAATAGTCTGTTGCGTTGCATCTGTGACAACCTCTCCTGTCTGAAGCCTTTGAGAGGTTCTGTGTTTGCAGTCAGACGTGCCCTTTTTAACCCCAAATGTCCGAATGCAACATCCACCACGGTGTCTTCCTGCTTCTCCACTGTCCTTAGTAGTTGTTGCCGTTAATTTGGTGAAGGTCCACCTGCATCATGTTGATCCCGCTGCTGGCTAATCGAGCTATGCTCTCTGCAGATAAGGTTTCCATGGTGACGATGGTGTGCTGGTCACTGACTGACACTGCTCCTGGTTCGACTTTTGTTACTGCTGCAGGGGAAGCAGCGTCAGTCGAGCCTGTGGTGCTGCCGGTGTTGGTGGCTACTACTTTCTTGTTCAGATGGGTTTTGATGTGCTTGGAGAGGTGATCGCTGCGCATGAAGCGTTTGGGACACTCTGGGCAAACAAACCTTTTTTCACCTGAATATAGAAGGGGAAAAAGAAATCAATACAAAAATAGCTGCAGCTGGTATGACCAGTTATGAAGAGTAATGTAAGAATAACAACACATTTTTTTAAAATATATTTTGGGGTAAAGGATATGCAACATACTAAGGTAATTATGTTATAATTATGTTAGTTATCAATAATATGTCAATTATTATCTAGATTATTCATTTGACCCATAAAATGTAAGGAAATACTACAAGAAAGCACAATTTCTCAAAGCCCCAAATTGTTAGATTTGCCCAAAAGAGGTTTCCTTTAATATTGTAGAAGACAAAAACAAAGCATCAGAGAATCAGATATTCATATTTGAGACTCTGGAACCAGTAAAATGAAATTTGTGATTTAAAAATCAGACCTAAACAATAAATCAGTTATCAGTAGTTTCTAATTTTCTGTCGATCAAATTGTTTACTTGTTTCAGCTTTAATTAATCCTGTTGCAAAAAATTGATTCCTTTGAAAGCTACGTTGCCAAGAAACAGATGTTTACGGATGCACATAGGCTTGTTCTTTACTATTCTTACATCAAGGACCACAAAGAAGTCTCCAGACTTAATTGTCATCTTTGATGTTTTGTCAATGTCAATTGTGAAATAAACTAAAATAAATCCTCAATGTCACCTGTGTGCGTCCTCTTATGGCGCTGAAGCTCGTCTGAACGGGTAAATCGTTTGCCACAGAAAGACCAGCCGCAGACGAAGGGTCGTTCTCCTGTATGCCAGCGAAGGTGGGCCCTCAGGTGGGATGTCTTGCCGTAGATCTTCCCACAGCCAGAGATGTGACATATGTGCTGCTTCTTTTTAGTTGGATCACTGCTCAATTAAAACAAACAGACAAAAAAAGAGTTAGACCATTACTGGGTTCTCTGTGAGGAGACCACATAAAATCAGCTGAAATGGGAAATGCGGTTTCTATGTGACACTATAATATAGTTCGTTACAACTTGACTTATTTTTGCTCTCATTAACGGTTCTAATAAATTGTAGTTTTCCCTTTAAGTATTAACAATCAGTTTATTATTACTCATCTTACACACTGACATCTAACAATGAGTTAGAAATAATTAAATAGGTAATTTCTGAAAACACATCTATCTTTACAAAGTATTTCATCATTAGTTTATATTATTATATTTAAAAAGTTTATTATTGACGTCATAATCAAAGGTGGTGTTGCACGGGACATTTTAGTAAGAGTTGTTTCTAATGTTTTGTTTGCAGTCCAGTACAACACATGACTATAACTATGACCCTCAGTGTTAAAACATATAATTCAATTAATACCTTTTGACGATGTCAACAAAAACTTGCCGGCTTAACTTGACTTATAAGTGTCATAAAACTATAGTATTTATGCCGGAGCAGTTGTATTGGATTGCATTAGAGTGTGATTGCAGGTGTGTATCAGTGACATACCGTCCTTCTCCATCCTTGCAGAAGGGGCAGGTACATGCTTCCCTGCGGTTGCGACGTCCTTGAGGTGGTGGGCTTATATCCTCATCATCCATAGCTGTGCTATCATCCAAACTTTCTCCACCTGTCTGTAAGTTCTGCTCTCCTGTTGTGATGGAATAGAAAAAACCTAAGTGTGAGATAAATTATCCGATAGCTTGAGATCTTTTTTGGTTAATAAGATTTCATTAATCCGATTCACAACACATTAAAAGGATTTAATTTAAAGTTTTTCTGCAATCTTTCCTGTACGTGGTAAAATGTCAAACACTCAGATGCTACAGGGACCCTTAGTTACCAATTTAAGAAAGAAAAAAGTAAACCAGTTATATGTATGTATGAAGGTGTACTAGCTTGAACTGTATGTTACCTGTATCTTTAGGATCTAGGTCACTTCTGATCTACTGCAAGTCATTTTCAGTGACATAAAGAGTCATAAAGAGAAGAGTCATAAAGAGAATTTCACCAGTTACTTCTGATGTTTCCTCATTTAAGAGCATTACAATAGCTTGATTCAACATTGCTTAATAAGTGAATAACAATACTAAACCCAGGGGGTTCAGAGAAGTACTATTTGAATATGAGTAATACTGTAAGTTACATTGGTATATACAGTCGAATGCCAGATAGCCTTAGCCCTCCAAGCTTTAAGCTCTAGGCTTAAGTAAATGTTAGTGTAATGTGAGCACTGACACTGGTGTGTAGAAAAGCCTGCCATTCAGTACTGCTGGAGTCCAAACAAAGCCTGTTACATACTAGCTGATGGGAAGCACATGACTTCATAATAAGGATAACAGAGCAAATGACATGCACTAACAACAGGCCCCATTATCCATAACAAACGGAAGTATTTGATCAAATGTAGACTAGCAAGCATATACACTTGCTTGAACAGAAGTGAAGAAGGGCTTATGATAAAAGGTTGCTATAAGATGGGAGGGGTCAAGTTACACCCCCACTGTGACACAGAAGTTGTGGCCACCTACAACTACAGTACTGTAATCATGATATGAAGAAAGTGTCACTAAGAAAAGAGAAAGGAACATTTGAACACAAACACATTCAGAGTATGGAGTAACACTGGACCAGCAGAACTGGTTAAACTAGTATACGGTAGTGCACCTGACACACAAAGCGGAAAGGAGATTCAATCCAGAGATACAACATACTACAGTGCAAACACCTTGAAACTAGGAAACTAATTGTCTACCAGACTACTTAACATTATTTACTCAGCTTAACTGCCAGCTACTGCCGAGCAATGACTTTAAAAGTTGGACCTTAGTTGTTGGTCGCCTATCTTGCCTAAGATAACTAAACACAATCAACGATTCATTTCAGCCTCTGTTATTCTGATCATGTCTGAAAAGTAATGACTACAAATGACAAAGTCAAATAACATCAAAACCAATTCAGTTAAGAAATATGGATAGCCCTGCCTGAGGATTACATCATTTAGTACCATAGTCCTTTTTCACACAAGGGCCGCAGTCTTTGAAACACAACAGTTGTTGACTTAATATACTGTATGTTAATATGGCTCACTTTAAAATATTATGCAAACATTTGTTGAAAGTGGGTGAGTGACTGACCTCCTGTACTGGCAATGGTGATGGGAACAGTCTGCAGCTGGTGCATCTGCAGCCCAGAGCTTCCAAGTGTGTTGAGATTTATGGTCTGGATGCCTGGGATCTGCACTGTGTTGACGGATACTCCTGCAGCTGCAGCACCTCCCTGAGCCTGGCCAAGTTGGGGGAGAGACTGCATGGGGGCCAGCGTGATCTGTGGCCCTGTCGGACTCTGGATCTGAATGGTCTGCCAGCTCACCTGGCCATTGGGGCCTACAGTGCGCAGGAAGATGGGCCCTGTGTTTGGCATAATTTGAAGATTTTGAAGCCCTTCCTGGCTGAGTGTTGGAGCTGCAAATACCTGACCGCCAGCGGTCGTGACAGTACCGGCCTGGATAGTTTGGAGGGGTGCTCCACCTTGGATAACCTGCTGAGGCTGGATGAGGATCTGCTGTGGCTGCTGCCCGTCCCTGTTGTCTGGCTGTATCGGGACACCCAGAGAAGATGCTGTGTTATGCTGGAATGTCCCGGTCATCACTCCATTGCTGTTCTGCGTTTGGCTCATTCCATAAGAAGTGGAAGTCTGCGTGGTGACAGTGGACGTATTTGTCATGTAACCTGCCCCGCTGTTGGAGGACACTGGATGTTGTTGTTGTTGTTGCTGCTGCTGTACAAGTTGGCTCCCCCCTGCATCACCTCCACCCCCATCTCCCCCTGTACCACTTGTTCCAGTACTGACGGGTAACAAAGTGATGTTTCCATTTAGTGACACAGGCATATTTGCCAGGAACTGGGGCTGGTTTTGTAGCACACCACTGCCCAAACTTATATTTTGAATAGGGATGGCTCCCTGAAGGAGACTGGGCATCGTTATGATGTTTCCTGCTGCCCCAGCTCTGTTGGTTGCGGCTATGATCTGCTGGCCATTAGGAGAGGACACTATCTGAAACTGCTGCCCTTGTGCTGCAGCAGATACAGAATCCTGCTGAGCATGTGCCAACTGCAGTGGCTGGCCATCCACGGTCTGAAACTGGGGAATAACCTGGTACTGAATGTTGGGCATCATACCGGATATGGTGGTAAGGACCTGCTGACCCTGCATCGATGGAGCCTGAGCTACTACGTATTGCTGTGGCTGATGCTGCTGTCCCTGAGTGCTTGCAACAGCTACTGATTGTGACAGCACCTGTCTGCCCTTGCCTCCGTCACCTCCTGTCATCACCCCTGAGGAGTCGGTGGTGATGGTGTTAGTGCCTGAGGATGCTTGAATGCTGAGAGGGATAACCTGCCAGCCGTTGGCACTAGTGGTGAAAACACCCTGGTTTAAGTCCAGCTGTTGCTGCTGGTTTTGTTGGTCTGAAGGGGAATCGTTCTCTCCTGGGGTGTCAATTCGACTGCATGTTGCTGCCAACAAGGCAAGAGGAGATGGCTGCTGAGAGTCCTGGAAAGAGAACACAGAAAGGAAAAAATAAGGACTTTATATAGCAAAAAATACATCTCACTATCTAACCCACACGTTAATGCTGAAGGTGTGACAAAAAATATAATTGGCTGTACAAATGTCCACTCATATTTTCAGCAGTGTTACCAATGTAGTGATGCAATCCAACAATAATTTTGGTGGAGTAAAATGTAATCAAGGAGGGTAATTGTACAAGTGATAAAAAACAAAAACAATGGAAGCAATAGCCATAATTAAAAGCTGACCTGATGAAGATAAATAAGTGTTTGAGGATGCAAAACAATAAAAAAAAAAAAGGTGCTAAATCCAAGAGCCTGAACTAAAAAGGCCAAATTATGTTTTAAAAATAAACATTTTCCCTTTAAAAATTTAAATCCCTTTAATGGAGCTTTGAGTTAAATTAATAAATAAAAAAAACACACACACAAAAAACAAAAAAACAAAAGTGTGACTGGCTTTATACATGCTACACACTCCCAATACGCCATTTATAAAAGTAAAACCTATTTCCTTTGATCACACAAGTCTCTTCCCAGCACTTCCCAGAGAGTGGAGTGAACAGGGGGGAAGCAGGGTGGGAGAGTATGGGAGGGACCGCATTTTTTTCCAGTGCAGCGGCGGGCTCGGCTTCCCCTCCCCCCAAACCCACCCATCTCCCTCCCACACTTTATTTTGCCCTATAAACTGAGACACTCCTCTAGCCACCCCCTCCAAACCCAGCCAAATGGGCCGAGCGAAATGCACACGAAGTGCCGGGGTTTGACGGGAACACCCCGTGTGGGCGAAATTTACCTGCCCATTCCCCACCCCAGTGACATGTGCTCCGGAGAGAAAATCAACAACCCGCTTTAAGTCGCGACACAAATGAATAACAGAATCAAACAAACATAAAACACATAACAGGTCCAGTGGGTATGACTGGGGAGCACGGTTAATGTTTCAACAAGGCTGACACTCGTCGGATTTTTGGCCGGTGAACCTACTTGTGAGTTTGTGTTTCGCTTTTGACTGAAGCCTCCACCGCTCTCCGCAGCGGCCATTTCACCCTGCTGCTGATCTGCGGAAGAAAGAGTTTGTAAGATCACTTATCTTAAAAAAAACAAAACAAAAAACAAGTAGTTCAAACAGCCGAGCTGACGTTACGTCCAACAATTTGAAGGGGGGGGAGGAAGAAAAAAAAACAACACATAACGTTAATACGCATGGCTGACCTCACCTAAATAACTCCACTTTTTTTTTTTTTAAAGGATTTTTTTTGTTGTAGTTAACGTGAAGCAACGCAGACCAGAAAAGCAACGAAATCCAAGCTACAAGTGCTCGAAAGGGGGGCCAGCTAAGCTAAGCTAACGTGAACTCAAAGCACAACAAGTAATGTTAAGAAAAAAGTGCTAAGTCTTAACTAAAGAGACACACAGAGAGAGAGAG